GCATTCTTCCAAACCTGGCACACTGCATGTCTAGCAGACCTGGTGCACGACACCACTGAAGGTCCTGACAGTGTAAAGTCAGCAAGGACCTGCAGTCACAAGGGATGTTTTTAGTGTCACATGGACACTGGAGCTAAAACTGTAATAACTATAAATAAAACACTTTTGCTCTGAGCATTCACTGATGAAGATGTTGAGTACAACAAACCTCCGAAAATAAAAACAGTTAAAATAAATTGCACTTAGAGCTGGGTAGCAAAACTTTATTCTTTTTTTATGTATCAACTGAAAGCGGCGAGATGTAGCCATAGCCCTGAGTACACATGCCGCGTTTTTTGTGCCCTATAATCCATTGTATTCAACGCAGATGCTGGAAGGTGCGCTTAATAGCAAGAGCAACGCTGCTGCGCGTTCCTATGCGCCTTTTATAAAGGACGAGACAGTTTCACCCTGATATAAACAAAGTTCAAATTCTGTAACACAACACACTCCGCATGTCATATGACAACAAACAACCAATCACACCTGCTAAAAATCTTCCCTTTCTCCTGTAAACACAAGTCGATGATGAATATGGAGAACAAGTTGATTATTTTAGTGCAGGGCGACCCAGAGCTTTACATCTGTCACACAGACAACATTTTAGCCCTAAAACAAACTTAAATATATATAGCAAGCTTTATAAACACTGCACACGCACAAAACGAGGCCTGAAAGAGGCATATGCCACTTCCCACGTTAAAGTTGTGATCTATACAAACAGACTTGATGGGAGAAACTTTGCTTATGAACATTTCTGAGACAGGAAATTGGTGATGCAAATGGTGAGGTAGAAGCCCAAATGTAGAAATTGTCAAATATTTTTTTTGGTGCACACCATTTATGGCTTTTGTCTGTACGTAAATTTTTAGTATGGATCCTACGCATTGTTTTATAAATAAGACCCCAGCTCTGCACTCAGGATTTCTGGTGAATAGGCTATAATATGGAGTTAGTTATGGTCGCTTGGCAACCTCAGACACAACCTGCCTCTAATTCCTTGAAAGTTGACACAGAGCAAGCACGAGAGTAGCACCCAGCACCCAACCATGTGTCTTCCAGGCGGATGAAAACGCAGCATGTGTGATGGCCCTAAGGTATCAAAGAAGTATCATTTTGGTACAGGCCTATTTCACAGCAGACATTTTAACATACCGTACTGGGAAAAGCGCAGGTGTTACTAATAACATTAACTCTGTTCTACTTAAGTGTCCCAGTAAACCATGACAGTGTGACAATGAGCCTGTAGGCACATTACCAGGACCCTGAAACTGAAGCAGCTAAATGGAATTCAGCCATCATTAATTCTATTTACACCTGTGCTTTTCATACTGTGACTTCTTAAAAAGGGTCTTTTAGTAACAAAACTTGGATATCGTATCTGCACTAGTATCTAAATGCTGAAATGATACCCTGCCCTATATGCACTTGCCAATTTTCCAACACAACACACATGTGAGTTTCAACAGCAGGCACAGAAAATCTACGATGATAATGACATCACAGGAGGTACAAGGCTGAATGTGTGTCAGGGGAACAGTAGGACAGTCCCGAGAAGATCGTCTTGGTTGGCGTGGGCATGGCATTAGTCACCTCACCACCACTTCCCTCCAATGGCATTCAGGAAATAAATTACCTTCCTGTGAGCGCTAACGGCCGAGTCTTTGTCAGGGCCTTTGGAAGGGGGAATCCTGACCAGTGAGTGATCTCACATTTTGTCAGGGTAACTGTGGAGTCACCGTAGCAACAGCTGAGACCCTGGCACTGTGCTTCAAAGTAAAGCACCCCTCACACACAGACTCCCATCCCCCGGCACTCTCCTCACCAAGATTTCAGCACACATCGGGAGAACTTGTCCAGCACTGATTTTGGACACAGCAGTGGTGAAAGAGTAAGCAGTCCTGCACTTACTCTTTTGCTATCTTAGAACAGACCCCATTTTCTTATATTTTTACTTTGGGGTTGATAAGTGAGCTGAAAGCTGGTGGTTGTGGTTCCCTCAAACAAAACAGTTATTAGAACACCAAGGGAAATCACAGGTTTCACAGGGTGCACGCTATAATTAACTCTGTATGTGGAGTGGGCCAGATCACTGTGCTGACAGCCATTCAATAAATCCGTAATTAATTAGAAGCACAACGACAAAACACCGGGGGTTTTCAAAATGCATATCAGATTTTAATGGAGGAGAAAATAAGTGCAATCTACATCCCGCATCATCTTTATAAGTATCTAAAGAAATAATAAGCAAAAGCATGGCAAAATGCAAACTGTCAGACACAACAGGACTCGGGTGGAAGCAAGCTTAAACACACCCTACTCTTTCTATTAAAAAATAGCTGCTCAAAAAGTCGAACAATCCTTTCAGAGATAAACAATGGTTTCCCTGTATCTGTAGACACTGTCTTTCTCGCTCTCTTTCTGCCTCTTCCCCCAACACAAAACTAACAATACCTTTTCAATAGTTTCACTGTGACAACAGGCTACAGACACTTTAAGAATGGAGATCCAGAAGAAATATCGGCAACTGAATGTGTAACAGTGGCATATTTGGGGCTTCTTTATATACACAAGCTGAGAGATGAAACTTTTAAGGCAAACTGGGGACAAACAACCTGCATTTAGATGTCTTAGACTCATCAATATTGCATCTGACAGAGCTAAATTAGAATAGTGTTTGAGTTGCGTCAGCAGCAGAACCAAAAACACTGAGGGTGTATGCTTTATTCTTAGTTGGTGAACCACTTGGTTTTGTCTCTGATTAACTAGATGGTATTTACTTTTAAATTTGGTTGATCTGTTAATCTCTTATTCAGACATGACACAAATGTGAGGCAATGCTTAAGTCTGACTCTCTGCTGCAACACTGCATTAAAATCACAGAGCAGAAGAGGCCTGAGGGCAACAGAGGATTTCAGGCACTTCCATCAACCTGCGACTAGATGAGAGCTAAATCTACAGGGCTACGTAATGATGAGCGCTCACTTTTTTCTCCTCCAAACATAGTGGAAAGATCCATAATTCATCAAAGCAAAACTTAAGTTCATGCATTATGGCTGCTGCTGCTCTAAAAAGATGGGACACATTTTCTGCCCTTCTTCTGAAAGCTCTCAATGCTCAGCTATGGTGCACGCATATTTTGTGTTTCTAATTTCTGGTTTCTGCTGAAGGTGGTTTTATAAGTGCAGACACCGTGGGGATGACCCTGTCATTGAGGAAGTTGATACCTGGTTCAATGTCGGAGAAAGGAAGAGGCTAGCAAAAGTCAGGGGCAAATCTGAATTTGGAGCCATTAAAACAGTTTAGGGAAACGATCAGAGTGTAACGGAAAAAGGTACAGGAGGAATAAATTCTCAGCTCAGTGGAAAGAGGATAGGAAGGTGAAAAAGTGAAAGGGGGAAAGAGGGAGATCATGTGAGACTGAGAATATATGACCTAGTTATGCCTCTTACTTTGCATTTCCTAGTCTATGTGTCCCTGGTATCCTGGGTGATTTTGCTTTTTGGCAGGCCAGAAGCCTGCAGGGAAGATAGGGCAAAGTTTGAACTAAAAGAGGAATACGCTTCAGCGGTGTGCCCAGTCAGGTGGATTAGCCCTCAGCCTCCCACGGCCAGGTTAGACAGAAAGATAGTCAGGATGCCAGACAGTCACAGCAGAGCCGGAGCACTCTCCTCTTTCACTCCACTCCCCTTCTTCCAGCCTGCTGACGTCAGCCACCCAGACCACACGACTCTGCTGCAAACAGCACACCTGCTGGCTTCACAGTCCATCTGGCCCAGCTCCATCTCTGGCCCAGCTCTCCAAGCAGAAACGCAGGTCTGTTTACAACCTGGGCACACAGTCACGATCCTACAGTAATTGCAGTATCTATTTCACGCTTGCTTGTGGGAGAAAAGAGGAGCGACTGTGTTATAGCCTCCCTCTGATATCAGATATCCAAGTGACAAGAATCATGCATGTCTTCTTAATGTTCCATTGCAGGTTGAATGTGCCACTGTATGCTGTGGAGCGGTTTTAATGCGTCCACATGTTGCTGACTAGTTGGAGAATTCTCTGAGGATTTCCTCACACCTTTTTCCTACAACTGTACAGCATCCACAAAGGGAACGATTTTGTGTTGTAATTGATGTGACAGGCCCTCTCACCTACTTTTTATGAAATCAGCATGAATTGAAAACTGCAAAATCATCAAAGCAATGCTTGTAGTGGTGAGACAAAAGGCAGAGAGAGAGAGACGTTTTTAATATCAGGGCCTTGTTCTGTTTTCATCTTTACAAGCTGTCTCCGCTGACAATATCAATAGTTTGTTTTCCACAGTGGTAAATGATGATTTTATAAAGGAAAATGTCTTACATTTACACAGTAACGCAGTGGTCACTAAACAATAACATTAAAAATATGTTGTGCGAATCTGCAAGAGCCACACTGTGTAACTTGGTAGGCATGTTCTCCAGAGCAGCAAAGGGATACCCTGTGTGCATTATTGATGTCAGAGGTTCAAGGGAAACTGCATGAGCAGCAACACTAACTGATGATAATTAATACCAACAAGCAACACTGCCTCAAGCAAAGACACAAACTGACACATTGGAAAAATAATCCTGCCTTTCTGTCATGAATTTCAGTAATTTGCTTTTGACATTCCATCAACCAGAGCTTGAGGGAGCTGCCATATCTGTCATACAAAGCTCTCTGAAAGCTAAATTCACTCACTGGCAATAATGGGTTACGTGAGGGAAATACATCAGCCTTATGATATATGAAATGACAACAATAACTCGCCATGATTCTATTCAGGGTCTATATTGTCTCTTGGTAGGCACCAGCAGTGGGACATGCAGGCACTTGCTTGTTGTCCCTCTGCTCACACACTCGCTATTTCTGTCTGCCAGGTCAGACACAATTGCATCGTTATTCAGTGCCCTGCGGAGTGGATAAACTGTGGTCGACAGGTGACTAACCTGAATGGTGCACGTATATTCCGTATCATCCAGCAGTCTGACGGTGCAGCTGTATTCCCGCTCAAGATTCCTGATGCTGCCACTCATGAATCGGCTCAACATCTTCTCAGAGAATCGCTGCTCTGCGTCTAGGACCAGAACAATAAACTCAACACCAAGCGTGCAAGTGAATGTCACATTGACCACAATCCCCGGCCCCCTAAACGACCAGCAGCCACAGATTCAGCCGCCGAAGCTTGCACCATTGTTGTCCCGTTAAGTTCTCGTGCAGTGGGCCCATGCTAAAAGGCAGAATCCAAGGATGCCTGCATCCAGATCCAGAGGCAGCTCAGCCCTGTTGTGTGTCTGTGGTAGAGCCGAGGATTATCTCTCACCATTCACCGCTGCCACTTGAGCAAGCGGGCGGGTCCCAATGAAAACTGACGTCAAAGTGAACCAACGGGAGCGTGTGGTGTTTTCTCTGCGCTTTAATGTCCAATATTGTTTTGTCTTATGTCGCAATTTACCCCGACACAGCAACCAATGACTCCTTGACTCCTATGTGTGAAATATCCTCCACAGACTTACAATTAAATGTAGTGTCGTATATTATTTATGTTGCAAAACTGGTGGGTGATGACTGCAGTGCCTTAAACCACAGCTGTAAAGATAAAATGCATCAAAGTGGATGATTATAAAATAGTAAATGCAGTGAGGAGCTCCATAAGCAACACCTAAGTGAACACCATCTTTACACTCTGTGACAATACCATAGCAGATTGAGCTAAAATCTATGGCCTCGGGTATCATAGCACTCCAGGGGGGTTGTTTAAATGTACTATATAGTTTTGTCAAACTTGAGTAAGCCATCTTGAAAGGGGGACAAGACGTTATATATCATACTTAGGGCATATCTGGCGACTATTGAATGTATTCTACTGCCACCTGTAGGCCAGGCATTGTTAGTGCGCTTTAAGCAGCCATCAAAGCCCATCAGTGGCCACCTTGTATGATTAATATGAAGAGGACCCTCTGTGGTGTCCTGAGTTGGTGGGAGACCTCTAAGAAAATCAACAGTGGTGTAATTGAACTATTATTGAACTTCCGCTTATGACTCACATCAGAGTTGACGACATCTTTATCAAAAGGAAACCGTTATTTTAGGGCAGTCTGCATAACAGTAAACCACATTTCACATAAAATAGTTATAACTGTGTGTCGACGTTGGGAATATCATAATAACTAAATAACTCACAATGCCAAAAGAACTGTCCCCATGGTGTAGAGTGCTGCCGTGACCCGGATTCGAACCGGGGTTGCTGCGGCCACAACGCAGAGTACTAACCACTATACGATCACGGCGAGCTAGCGGAGACTGATAGACCGTTGCCATATTTTTTCTATAAGAAAATAAACAGCCACGTGAGTAGTAATATTATTCATATAGCGGTGTTACCGAATAAACACAACATTATTCTGTAACATTAGAGACTAAAGTGAGCAAATAAAGCAAGAAAGGAACCGTTTAGAATTCCAACGTAAACGGTCACTGTTACGAGAGTTTAGCTAACAACCGTTACTAACTTAGCCAACATTAGCTAACGTTAGGTTAACTGCTGGATCGAAATTGCGACTTGTATTGCGCCAATTGGATATTTTCGAAATGTAAATATCAACACTGTTCCTAAATTGTCGTTAGTAATACCTTCTAGTATTTCGTGTCGTTTTTATTCGACGTAACGGTAACGCAGACGCTGACTTGCAACTTACTTTGCTAACTGCTAAAACTTGCCGCATCTTAAACGTTAGCCAACGTACGTTAGCGTCACTGTGTGTAACTTAAGTTCATTCATCCAAGCTACAAGACTACACTGAAACATCCACTGGAAATGTTAAGTAACGTTATCGTATTTCTTTTTGCTTACTTACCATAACTAATCTTGCCATATCGTCTCTGTTAATTTTTGTCTTGTAATGAAGGAAGTAATTTCACTCTTTAGTAATGCAATTGTTCACCAACTCTCAGTCAGCAGCATCAATACTGTCTATTCAGGCACAAACTTTGTAATGCATTGAAGCAGAGTAATTCGACATTATAACAGAATGACACGTTTCAAAACACTGACAAGCAAAATAATGATGAAAGTAGTGGTTTTTATTAGATAAATTCTAAACAGTAAAGGTCTTAATGTGATAAATTAGGCTAGCCAGCTTGCCACTGAGGAAAAAAGTGATACATTTTTAAGTATTATACAATTTATGATTACATCAGTGGTTGGCAAAAGTGAGTGTTAATGTCTCTTCAGTGTTGAGCTAAGAATTGAAGGCTGGAAACACCACCCAAACACAAACCTCTGTCTGTCATTCATTCATTCAGTCACTCACTCATTTATCTATCACCACCAATCAACCAGACAAGTAAGATGCATAATCAGCTAGTGAGTAATTCCCGCTCACATCATTAAAAAGCATCAAAGTAGTATTTACAACAGGACCAGAAAGGGCTAATGGCGAAGACTGAAGTCTTGCAGTTCATTTTCATCATTCTCTTCAGGTTCGTTGCTCCTTGTGACCGCAACTTTGGGGCCACACTCTGCCTTCCTGGTGAAAGGGCCACATGGACCAGCCTGAGTCTGACGCAGCCATGGTTTGCTGCGTGGTATGTTGCCCATACTTTGAGCAGAAGCACCTTCTTGTTTCTTGGCTGTCGTTGCATGATTCCTCCTGTGCAATTTACAGGATGCCACCAGAGGCTTTCCTATGTCCACCTGTTGGCTCTCTGTCTGGCGCAGCTTACTGTCCGTGTGAGTATAGTGTAGATCCACCTTGATGACCAGTGACTCCTAACAGAGGCAAATGAGAGACAAAAGTTCACATTTATTGTACAGTACTGTAAAGACTTGCTCTGTTTTTGCTTTAAAAATATAACACTCAATAGGAAAATAATCAGGAGACATAATTAACTGCATACCGTGAGCTTTTGAAGAGCACAAAGCCGCAGAGTTGAGTCTTGGTTTTCAGAATTCCTAAATAGTAGAGAGTCCATATCCTCTGACCTGCCAGGGCCGGAAAATATGTCTTCCATTGGCTATGGATTCAAAGCATAAAAGAGTCTGTCAGCATCATCACACTTTAAAGCAACTTTATCAAAATCTTTTAGAGGTACACTCCCATAAACATGTCCTACATTTACACTGGCCTAGCACTAACTCACTGCTGGAAATGGACTAGATGCATACATCAATCAGCCACTAGATGTCAGTATGGCCTAAAATTCGCCATTCAAAAGCATGCATGTATTACATTTGGAGAAGTACAGCAGATTAATATCTACTTCCTGCTGTGTCTTTGCCTGTGGCTGCAGCAGGCTGGAAGTCTATATATGGGCAGAACTTCCTCAGACATGTGAAACGTGGGGGTGAATGGTCATCACTAAGAAGTTCCTGCTGGCTCATGGAAAGTGACTGACTTCTACTGTGAGCAATGTGGAATTTATGATGTAGGTACAACTTGCAGTTTTTAAACCCAATATTGAATTTAGTACCTCTTAAATGAGAAAGTAAGACTTAAGTGAAGTCAAGGCATTTGTGCTGACATGTCTTTTTTATGTACATTTACTCAGCAGTGGAAGTCGTGCCCAGATCTTTCACTTCGATAAAAGTTGTGATACTACATTGTAAAAAATACTGTGTCACAAGTAAATGCTGCATTCAACATCTTACTCAAGTAAAAGCACAAAAGTGTTAGCATCAAAATATACTTAAAGTACCAAAATATAAAGTACTCATTATGCAGAATGGCCCATTACAGATTCATATTATATTACTGAATTATAATTAGTGATACATTAATATGATAAACACTTTAATGTCGCTGCTGACAAAGGTGGAACTAATTTTATGAGTTTTTAAACTGCTAGGTAGTTTGATCTATACTCATACATCACCATTTACTAGATTATATTATTTTGTATTAATATTCTGAATCTGCAAAGTAACTAAAGTAATCAAAAACATTTAGAGAAGTACAAAAAATACATTATTTTCCTCCAAAAGTAGAAACAGAAGTATAAAGTAGCACACAATAGAAATACTCAAATAAAAAATATTTTAAGGTGCTTGCTTAAAGTACAGTATTTGAGTAAATGTACTCAGTTACATTCCACCACTACATTAACTTTTGACCTACAGTGTATTTTGTCTGTGGATGTGTGTATTAAAACCCAAACTGCAATAGTCCTATAGATATGGGAATAAAAATTGACAGGACTGCTTAAAGTAAAGATAAATATTTACAGGTATGCTGCTCAGGGTGACAGTGCAGTCCTGGGTTCTGGGGCCTGTCGTCTTTATGGTGGCAAAAGCCACCAAGACGTTAGAGAACAGGGCTGAGAAGCTCACTTCCACTTCTACTCCGCAAACAAATAGCAGCCGCTTCCTCCGTGGTAACTCTGAAAAGAGATATGAAAAAGGTTCAAGAAAAATGATGACTAACATGCTCTGAAACTGTTTCACATTGACTGTACTTTTTTGTATTATTATAGAATTAAATTACTGATTTGACCAAACCTTTAATTAACCACATTAGGGGACTTTCAGCCTCACTAATAATTTAAGCCGCAGACTTTCTATCTTTGATCTTGTCTGATGGAGACGGAGGAGATTTTCAGATTAGTTCAATGGTTCCATTTTCAAAGTGGTGAGGTAAATTTGAGGAAGTCAAGGTGTCAAAAGCCAACTTCCTTCCATCAAATAGGAAAATAAGTCTTTGTAACGTGAACCAGTTCTCTGTTTTGATTTATCACAAAAAGAAAATGAGTAGCGTTCTTGAATGGTGCTGAAACTATCACATTATCCACACCTTCTGCACTTGGTTTGTCACACACTGTAGTGTAGGAGGTGTGGGCAAGGGTAAACAATTTCTCTCTCTCTCTCTCTCTCTCTCTCTCTCTCTCTCTCACGCTCAAGGTGATAACAGATCAAGAAATGGAAATATGGTTTCATTAGATTTGACCTAGAATTCAGTAAACATGTAGGTTTCTGGAGACTCACCATTTGCTTGTCTCCAGCAGGCATCACGCAGGTGTAGCTCCCTTGTGTGGCCAGTGGTCCAAACCGGATCAGCGAGGGATCGTGGTTCCTTCAGGGTGTGTTTGATCTCCACCTGCTGCTTGCCTGTGATGAGAGGGTCTTTGCCTAGATCTGGTGTAAAGTGACGGAGAAAAGAACAGGTGAATATGATACCAGCACCAAAATTTCCAGGGTGTTTTTAGCATATTTTACTCATTTCACTTTGGCCATTACTAAGAAAATCACCTCTTCATTACACACTAAAACCTTTATAAAATATTTTCCAACTACACAAGCCAGTGTACTCATACTCTTTGGCTCTTGGGGCCATGCCTGAGTTTTGCAATAGCAGGGAGAAATATTAATCAGATCCACATGGCTGGCTTTGAGGAACTTAGGGAAATTTTAAAAACTTAGATAATATGAAAGTTAATATTCACAGTAATTGACCTGACTAAATGAGTTTTGGAAAACCTTGTCACAAGATTCACTACACCCATACATAAGCATCAGGTAAAAGGTTAACAGGGTGAAAAGGCTGACCAGCATGTTCAAGTGATTCAATATAGATTTATGCTTGTCTTTCGAGAAGATTTGGCATCAGGAATATTTGGGGCGAGCTGTCTTCACTACGAGCAGCTCATCATCGACAGCTCTTTTTCCATCTCTAAATAAGTCCCAGACAAGATGAGCAGATATCAAAAACAGAGGCTTGAGAACTTCTAGGTTAATGTCCATATTGTGGCTCTCAATTTCAAATGGAAAGTACAAAGAGGGAAAAGTAAAAAAGGATAAAATCGAGTGTAAAAAAAGGTTAATTTGTTCTTCTAAATATGTCGATACACACACATACACACACACAAACAGAGTGCTGTCAGCAGGGCGTCCTGTGCAGACATCAGAGCAGTGGCAGGGGGGTGCCCAAACGGCAGAGCAGCTGTCTTGCACTCTGCAGCTCTCAGGTTTCTTGCTGTTCTCATGCCAACAGTGTGAATTTCCAGAGAATGAGGTCACATGCTAATGCTACCTTGAAAAATTACTCTACCAGAGGCCCATCAGACAGACAAACACGCTATCAAGATGCGACAACTTGATTAACTTCCCTACCCCCCACTCAGTCACACCTACACTTTCAAGTCCTGAGTAAACAACACTAAAATGAGTTGCCAAGAGTATAAAACTTGTCTGTGGTCCATCCAACCAGCGCACTCAAGGACAACCTGTTCCCTTTAGATCTATTTACCCTCAAATCTGCCAGAACAGTCAACCTGAATGGATAAAGTAGGGTTGCGCAATGAATTCAAACATCATCACAATCGCATTATCGCCAAGTTCAATACCCAAATCGCAGGAGCTGCAAATTTTTGGAAACAGTTAAAATGTGTCACAACATGCCCTGATGCTACAGAGATGCTTGAGCCTACAAATCATATTCCAGACAATAAAAGAACATGCTTGTTTGGTACAGACCCCCAGCAAAAATCACATCATTGTCATCATCTAAAATCTCAATATATATCAAAATAGTCACAATATGATATATGTTATATGAAACTTACCCTCAGACACCTGCTCTAAGACGTGTGTGACTTTGTCCGTCTGTAGGATGTGAGCGTTCAAGTACTTAGTGAAGATTCCAGTACTTTTGCCCCCATCCTGGACCTCAAACGCCTCAGCATCTTCACATCTGCATTGATTAATAAAGGGTTAGGGTAGGGATTACAGAGCAGCAAAAGATTTACTTATGCATATATTTATTCTTTTACATTTGTAATTAAATATTTATAAAACTGGGGCACCGGTGGCTTAGTGGTAGAGCAGGCGCCCCATGTACAAGGCTGTTGCCGCAGCGGCCCGGGCTCGACTCCAGCCTGTGGCCCTTTGCTGCATGTCACTCCCTCTCTCTCTCCCCCTTTGACGCTTGTCTGTCCTATCCATTAAAGGCTAAAAAGCCCCAAAAATATCTTTAAAAAAATAATAATAATATTTATAAAACTAATAAAATGTACTTACGTGGCATAACCATAAACAGTGTTCCCACTGGGTCCCAGTGGCATGATGCCTGAAGGTATGCTATCCTGGTTGTACCTGTAGAAAGTAACATACACAAAGGCTTACATTAGAGGAGTCACTATCTCATACAGTTCTGAATGAGAAGGCTTCCGGGTCATGATTCTATCAGTGGCAATGAGTGTATGAATATGTGAACAGACCAAATAAATCTTGGGCTAGCCTGCTTAAACAGAAACAAAGTCATAATACTTAACATGGAATTAGAGATTTGGGAGGATAAAACATTTTGACAAGTTTTAGTTGTCACTTATAATTATAGAAATCTGACAATAATAGAACCAAAGAAGAAGTCAACAAGTTTTTTTTTTCTATAATTAAAATACCAATTTTAACAGAACAGTAAAAAGCTTAGGGGAAACCCACCAAGGAAAAGAAAATATCAGAAGCATTAGCCCTAAGGCGTGGTGGAAAATCCCTGGGCCCACATAGGTTCCTGGTGGACTGGTATAAGGCTACTAAAAATAAGCTCACTCCATACCTGGTTAAAGCCTATGATTACAGTTTGAACACTGCCCACCATTTACCAGAAACAATTTCATTAGACAACATCTGTTTGATTTTGAGGAAAAAAGGAACCAGTGTCTTACAGGCCTGTATCAGTCTCTAATGTAAATGTAAAGACTTTGGCTAAGGTCTTGACTTTGAGGCTTGAACCACAAATATCAATGTAGGTAAAACCTGGTCACACAGGCTTTAAAAACTTTAAAGTAGGTGCAAAATTCAATGACTGAGTGGCACTGCTGTATTTGTCAGATGAAAAATGAACCTACGCAGAAGTACCAAATATGACAGCTCCTCAAATGGCCACCTGAGGCAGGCTCCAAGACTGAGTCAATCCTCATAGACACCCATGTTAAAATGCCATACTTAACAGCAGATATAAACATGTTTATTGCCTGGTGCAAAGTTGGTTTGGTAACGTAACAATGGCGCAATTTATTAAATATTTATAACACAGTATAATCATCAGTTCACAAAAAAAATGTGTAAAGCCGATCCCATCCGATTCAATACCGTCTTCTCTTAGTAAAAACAGAAATTAATTATTGCACCTACCATTTTCTACAGGTATCCAGAAGGATCACACTCAGTGCCGTCCGTCTTTGCTGCATGCTGAGCATGACCCTCTGCACACAGACACAGTTTTCAGTTCGGTACGGTTGTGGAGCGTCAACAGCTACCAAGTAATTCCTCCCAGCACGCTCATATCCATGACCCGCATAGTAGAAAAGGCCTGTTAAGAGTGATAAAATACAAGACCATAAGAACTATAGTCATCACATTTTTTGCAATGTTTGTTGCTGCATAGAGAAAGGTCACACTGGGGCTATGTTTCAAAATATGTTCAGGCATGCTTTCTCAATGTTCTGTCGTTGATTTGTTATTAGCAAGAGAGAGTAGAGAATAGTGACAGGCTGTATCATTCTGATACACCATGACTGTTCTTTTATCACTGCTTTTATTTCATCATCAACATCATTTTACATTACAAATCTATCAGTAATGTCCTCTTGTGTATCTGTCTGCTATTTAATATAACAATAGTGGCCTAGTTCCCTTGAGCAATATGACTAGTTGTTGAAACTATGCTCTAGTTATTAATAGCTGAATGTTGTCATACACTACAACGCCATCTTTGTTTTTTGTTTTAACAATGTGTACATCAGTTGAATGTCTGACTGTGAATGACCCTCTTTAAACACTATATAAATCCCTCTCAAAGTGTTGCAGACATACAGGAAGTGTCACACATAGCATACAAAGTTAAAAACACCTCCGCTTTTTTTTACTCCTTATCTGCCCACACAGCCAAGCATTACACTTAAAGCAAGACACTTTATTACAAATCACCCAGGGATTTGTGACCCATGACACGTGGACAACAGATAAGAGCCGCAGAGCACAAGAGAGGAAGTTACAATGTCATATTCGAGATTCCACAAATATGTTGTAATTACTATGTCAGCACTTCTCTGAGAGCAACAGTTGAAATCATCAATCAAATGACAGATGTAGCCGATTCTGGAAAAAAACAAAACTGTACTCACCATAAACTCCTCTGTCAAGGAGCTGAATGAACTTGTCGATAGCAGCCAGCATCTCCTCCCTGGTGAGATCCAGCAGGGAAACCACCCTGAAGCCAAGCTGCTGCAGAAGGTTGGCCAGCTCATGTACATCCATGATCGGGGCCATCAAGTCAGGGTGGTGGGTGTAATTTAGGTTGCCGATAAGTAGGGCAACTTTATCAGTGGCTAAAAGAAAGATCAAAGAAAAAGTCTAATTATAGTAACATCAGGAAATTCTCATATATACCCTGGTAGTTTCTGTGGCGGCACACTAAAAATAGCATGGGTTGACATTAAAGTATCTTTCCATTAAAAACGTACCTGTGGGCACAGCAGGAGGAAGCTGATCCGTTTGTACTAGAAGATATAAAAGAAGAGAAGTCATTTTTTAAAAACAAAAATCTGATTTAAAGTACTATAAATCTGTCCATAGGACACATACAGGGCAGTACTATTTAACAACATGACAACTGTTTTTTGGGATCCGCACTGTACATGCCACAACATAAGTTAAGAACAGGAGAAACACTGCAAGAACTAGTTTCACTTTACATCACTTTCCTGTTGTGTGTCTAAGGCTCGGATCAAGCACTATTTGGAGTCTAACTTCCTTTTTAGTTTGTAGAAATGGGAAAGTACCTTCAGCATAATGGAAATAACTTTAAGTCTAGTCTTTAAATGCTAAATCAGTGGAATGAGGGGAGTGTTTAAAAACACATATTTTCTTAATAGCCACTTCATTGGAAATGACCGAAGTAAAGTCTGAGGGAAATATCTTGATAAAACTGGGAACAGACAGACTTTAACTGAGCTGATAAAAGTAGTTTCAGTTATGACTTACCAATGTCAACATCAACTGGCTCAGTCCATGTCTCTTGAAGCACGTTAGATATGCAGCACAGGTATGATCCTGCGTGCTCGGCTGTTGCACGCTCAATCTGCAGGTACAGCAATAGATTATATTCCTACCATTGTTTGTCTTCCTGGCTTTCTCCTCACATGTACGATTAATCAACCCTAAATCAAAACATTGGTAAAATATTAACCAAACTGTTTTAATGGTTGGTAAAGGATGCGTGATTCACAGCCAGTTAGATGACAGTAAATTTAGCACAGTGTAAACAATCAGTGTCAGCACTAAGATAAGTAAACACTCTGTCCTTCGTTACCTGCAGCGTACCACTAGTCTCCAGCAGCTGCTGTCCATTTCTGTACCACTGATAGTGTGGAGTGGGCATGCCAAAGGCAACGCAGCGGAGAGTGAGCTTGCTACCATGTCGTACCGTCTGGGGTTTAGGGTTAACAGCGATGTGTGGCTCACCCTGCCAGTGTACTGGCAAACCTGGTGATGTGTGAAAAGAAAGTGATAGAGACTCACACCCACAGTAACAAACAATGCACAAATACTGATTCATTGCCAGCTGACACTCAGAGGCTGGAGGATGACATAATGCATACCTGATTTATCAATGTCTAACACCTTCACTTTCACCCAGTCACTGAAGACGCAGTTACAAAAGTGGTCATTCACTCGGCACACGTAGAGCTGGGTTTTTATAGCTGTGATGGTCAAGTCTGCTTCAGTGCCTCCAGGCACCTTGAAAACAAAACAAAAGAAACTAAATTTCATGGCAGTAGAAAAGATTTAGAAAAGTGCAAGACTGTCAGACACCATCTCGATATGACGTTTAGCTTGTTTCAGTCATCATTTTACATAGCTTTATTCAAACCAGTAGTTTCACATCGAGACAGCTGTGCACCAGAATAGACATGTACAGTACAAACACAGACAACTGTTACATATAGCAGACACTATTTCCACATCAAAGTAAACAGTAACGTGCCATTCAAAATGCTGTTTTAACACCCTCAAAAGAAGTAAAATATTTAAGATATTTAAGTTTCTTTATGGTAACTCATACACATAGGCTGATCTCAAGTCAAATCCACATACCTGCTCATCATCAGTGAACCACTGGTAGTGAAGGGTGTCTGTTCCCTCAGCCCGGACGCTCAGTGTCACCCTGTGGTTCACAGGTACACACACAGAAACAGGATGGCGCACTATGACAATTTCTGAAACAAATCAAGAGCGAATTTCAGGCATCTGAAATCACAGGTGTGGTATCTATTTCAGAAAAGTCACAGCATGTGGTGAGGTGAGGAGACACATAGAAAACACCTACCGCTGATCATTATTCGACAGGGTTTGTTGCGGGATCCAGTCATCAATGCATTTTCTTCTTATACCTATAGGAAGTTAAATAGTTTTAAACTAGTTTAAAATTAGTACTTTTTCATAACTATAAATTGAATCGACCCGAAATATAAAGATCACAAAATGAAAAACATGATGTCAGCGTGATGTCTAGCCTCAGCCATTAACTTCTCATATCTGGTGAACTGAACACGCAGTGAACAATACTGTAGGTTTAGTTAGAAATGTTTCTGATTCACACATTAAAATCCAAAGTGTTCACAACCCATAAACACACACGTGTTACTGCATACCTGCCGTCAGCCTCCGACGAGTTGCGCAGCTGTCGGACCTCAGCCACTATATGTTTTCCTTTCCTCAATCTTCATAACTTAAATTATGTCGAGAAAAGTCTTCCCCTTCCCGGAACGATACAGCGTACACACACATTACCGTAAAGCGTCTAATGTGGAAGCATCCGATAAACCATACAGTGTCTTTCACCTGTGGAACACTGAGGAAATATAGATATCAAGTTTGATTTTAAGATAATGATATGCATTTGATTCAAAAACATCCAAACAGACGAACACTGCACCGTAAAAGTCGGTGTGAATCGTGTAAGGGAGATGCAAGTGAGCCACTTTTTCAGACATTACGGTAACAAGCAATCTTGCCTCTTTTCAGGTGTTGTACAATCACAGGCTGAGGTAATTGAGTTTCGGGGGTTAAAACAGGACAAACTCACTGTATTTTCACTGACATAGAGAAACCACATGATATTCTAGATTTGGCATGATTGGGGTTAAATTGATTGCAAGCAGATGAAATAAAAATATCAGCACCAGAAAATGAATTCTTCTATTGGCTTATGTGCTCAATAAACAGCCTTTGACATCAATAAAGTGTCCCACATTACAGTATATGAACTTCCCACTGTAAATTCACATGCATAATGTGTGTATGAAATGTGGAGCACATTTTTAATGTGTCTTACTGTAGAAGGGTAACAACATTTAAATGCAGCATATGTCTAGATCCCTCAAAGAACATATATTAAAGTATTTGAATAAAATGTATTCAAATAATATGTTCATTTATGTTTAATTTGTTTACTTTTTGTATATAGTTCAGTATGTAAATGAACATTTATAATATTTAACATCCCATTCACATATCAGATATATATGTATTTGGCATTTTTATAAAAGGGTGTTTAAAGGTTTATGTTTAAAGGTTTAAATAAAGATATTAGCTTGATGTGCAGGTGTTTTTTGTTTGATTATGTTTGTTTGTTCAAGCTCTGTTTAACCAGAAAAGCTTAGAGTGTCTTTGCAAATATAAAAGAATGAGTTGCAAGCAAATTAGTTTCACATAGAAAATGACTACTATGAAATTTCTAATAAAAGTGTATAAAAGATCCATCCTAAAAACAAACTAAATATCACCATTAAACAACTCAAGAACTGTCTGAAACCATAAAAATAAATAAGACCGGATATAAACAATAACATAACTAACACGTCAATGTTTTCAAGTACCTCGAAGAATATATGTTGTCAGCTGAGCCTGTTTTTGTCTTATTGATATGAAACATGAGCAGCAAGTGAGTCTCTCTATGTTTTGACCATGTGTTGCAATACGAAGTGAGGGGGGCTGTCCTTAAACAACTCTTGAGCAAAGCATGGGATATCGACCGTTGGTTGTCATCAGCTTCAGACACAGACACCTTTTGCAAGTTTCACATCCACGCCACTCGAGTGTCTCACTAAGATGGGACACCCTTTTTTCCAACTTATTAAGAATGATCAAAACAAAGCAGTGAAACTGTTACAGTGTGACAGTTAATGAAGTGATTTTTTTTTAGTAATGTAATGATTTCGGTTTAGTTTTTAGACCTCTTTCCTAAGTCTAAAGTCTAGTTTTGGAAAATCTGATGTGCTCTTGCACCTATTTGTAGAGCAGCTATAAATAGGCCCCTGCTGGCAACACATGCGTGTCTATGATAGGCAGTTTCAGAGCCTTTCTTCACAGACTCTGGCTCCAAAGCAACACTGACAACATCTCAATGGTAAGTTGGAAAATGTGCCTAGTTTTAAGGTGAGCTCAAAACACCTGAATTGTGTTCCTAACACGTACAAGTAAATAACACTTCTTTGGTTTGTGTTTGACCACTAACAGCCCTTCCACAACCTGATAGCTGATCCTATTTATAACTTGCTCCAATGCAAAGTGCTTTGCTTGGTCAGAAAGGACAAGCATTGAGTCTCAACAGTGTGTCTGACTTTTATGTGAGCAAAGAGTGAATCTAATGATTTGTTTTATTAACTTCCTAAAGGTTCTGTTTCCATACTGAGGTGTTTCTTTTTTTTCTTCTTCAGGGGCTTTCACATGGATCACACCATCAAATCTGAGCTTTGAACTTTGACAAACTGAGGGCGTGAACACGGAGTAGTTTCATACTGTGGGCGACACATTAACCTTGGATTTTACAGTTTTTTTGTGAAGTGCTTCAGTGGACGATGACTTCCAGAAGGCCAATGACACGCTCTTTCTCTGGCAATGGGAGGACAAGCAGCTTCAGTGAAGAGGAGGGCAACTCTTCCAATGGCCCCCCAGAAACTCGCAATCCTTACCTCTCCAATGTTAGGCCTGAAAACAGGTACACAGCCTCATCTGTAATTCATTTATATGCAAGGGATGTGTGTTGTGAAGCAGATTTCTGGGTGTCATCTGGGTCAGATCAAGTTAAATTCATAACAAAACACAAAACCTATCTATTGTTTAAATTTGTTTAGCTGGAAAGAGTAAAAATCAAACAAGATTTTCATTGTGGGTACAATTCACATTTATGACATCAATTTTCTGTTTCCAGTCTACAAATAATTACAACAAGAAAGTGCTCCTGTTTTCAAAGAGGAGGGCAGTTATTAAACTACTTCATGTCGGGGTTTTATAAGTATACAAACAGATCTTAATGAATCATTGACGTCCTTCATTTGCCTCCTCTCTAAATAGCTATTCAAGGTATTCTCACTACAGGCCAACGAGGTAATCCATACTTTTAAAACATTCCTCCCAACTAACATCTTAACCACAAAAACTGGTTTACCGCAAGAATGAAACCCACACATGCTTGAACTGTAATGTAAGTGTCCGGTTTGTCCAGTGTTGCGTTCAGTTTTTCAGTGATGAACATCGGTCGTAGTGTTGGATTGACAACTTTTTGTTTTGCCTGACATCTCACAAGTCTCTGTGTCACTCCGTCACAACCGTCACTACCAGAGATTTCCATTAACACCCTTTTCTCTTATTAAACAAGTCATTTGAATGAACTGCACAGAGGGCAGGATGTCACTGAAAAGAGACTGAAGTTTAAAACTGTCTTTGAAAGCAAGAAATTGACCCTCTGATTCATTCGTGTTTGTTTCCAGGAGCACATTGTGCAGCGTCATGGCTCAGCTTACCGAGGACGTACAGCCGTCCTTTGAGACCACCTTGAAATCCAAGGCAGTGTCAGAAAACTGCAACGTGAAGTTCTCCTGTGTGGTAACAGGTAGGCCTGTTTGTTGGCATGCCTCAGCTTGTTGTTTGTTGGAGTAACTGAAACGTTTCAGATATTGTGTGATGTGAAGTGACAGGATGTGACTAATCTGAAAACAAAGGAAGGATTTCACTCCGAAGGCACCATAAGAACTGCTTTATTCTTCATGAGCTGCTCCTCAAAAGCAACAGACCATGAGAATACTCGAGCTGTTTTCTCAAGATGTTTTAACCGCAGGCCAATTGGATGGGTGGGGTTGTCCAACAGCAGCAACTGTTCCAGCAGCTGACACATCACAAACATGATGCAACAGTGTAAAACACATGCCAGGAGCAGGACACATAAACTTTGTTGTGGGTTTGCCTCATTTATTGCTGTTGTTTGCATCACTTCGTAGTTATTATGCAACTTTTTGTGTTTTTTTTGTCACCCTGTGGTGATTTTATGTCTCTTTGAGGTAATTGTGTGTCTTTTTTGTTGTTGTTTTGTGTCTCTCTGTGTTTGTTTTGCCTGTTTTTGTCGAAATTTTGTGTCTCTTTGCAGTTTCTTTGCTTCTCTTTGTGGTCATTTTGAGTCTCTTTCTGGTTGGTACTTGTTAATTTGAATGAAACTTTGTTGGTAAAGGCCAATGGGACCCCTGACATTTTGGCCCCTGGGCCTGTGCCCCATAGGCCTGTACAGTGATCCATCCATGAGTGCAAACTTTTGTTACAAATACTGATATAGTTCTCTGTGGCACGAGGAGTGTAATGTTGATGATCCAGAGGCAGTTGGTTCATTACAGTCTATCCTTGTCTTTAGGTTACCCAGCTCCAGAACTGAAATGGTACAAAGATGACATGGAAATGGACCGGTATTGTGGACTCCCAAAATATGAAATTCGTCGTAATGGAAAAATCCATACCCTCCATATTTACAAGTATGTAGCAAGAATCATCTACCTTTATCTATCTATTATTCAATTATCAAAGTATTAGACATGCAGATTTTTGTTTTTTGTTGGTAACTGTAACGCTGTCAGTGCACCTATAAAATGAGATTAATAAGTGTTTCTGTTTTCAGCTGCACGTTGGATGATGCAGCCATCTACCAGGTCTCAGCAAGCAATAGCAAAGGTATTGTCTCCTGCTCGGGTGTTCTGGAGGTTGGCACCATGAACGAGTTCCAGATCCACCAGAGGTTCTTTGCCAAGCTGAAGCAGAAAGCTGAAAAGAAAAAGAAAGATATGGAGGTGCAGGCCAAGCAAGGGGATAAAGAAAACATTCAGAAAGAGAAACCGCAGGTTAGCCCAGAACGTCCTCCAAGAAAGCGACATATCCCAAAACCAGAGGAGAAGCCGGCGGTGAAGAAACCTGAGGCTGTGGAACAACTGGGAGCTGCTGCAGAACCTAATGGTATTATCTCCGAAGTCGAGGAAACAGCCCCTGTGACATCTAAAGACCTGGAGGAGATATCTCCATCTGAGGAAACCATGGCCAAAAAGAAAATAAAGATCTCCAATGGTGTAGATGCTGGGGTTAACGGCAACAGCAGCAGTAACAAAAACCATATGATGGGAAATGGAGGTGAAAACTGTTATGATGGAGGCTTTGGTTTAGCACAATTTCTGGCAGAGGCTCTCCAGGCCCAAGCTGCTGAGGAGAAACTGAACTCAGCTCGAGGGGAGAAACCTGTAGAGATGGATTCACCTATTGTAAGTGCAAGAGAGCAAGAGAGGATGCGGAAAGTAAGGGAAGAACAAGAAAAAGCTCAACAGGAAGAGTATGAGAGAGAGAAAAGGAGAGAAGAAGAGTTGGCCATAGAGAGGGAGCGAGAAAGGGAAAGGGCGTTGGAGATGTCGCATACAAAACACGGCTCAGAAGTCAGACATCACGGCAAGGCTCGTAAGGATCACGAACACCACAACATCCAGACCTCCATCTCCTCTGTGCTCCACTCAGTCAAAGACTTCTTCTTTGGTAAGAGCAAGAAGGACTCTCATGAACACATTGAGAACAAGGAGAGAGAGGCTAGTCGCTCGCCTGCCTCAACGCCGCCATCATTTCGGCTGCAACAGGAGCACAACCGAGTGTGCAAGCCTCTCACTGAGGACATTGTATCTATGGAAATAGATAAACCAAAGGAGCCTTTAGAGTATGTAGGTATGGAACAGTCAGTGTCACTGAAGCCACATGAACATAAGCATGAAGACCGTGTTTTGCACACAGACCTGCCAGCAGCTCATAAATTGCCACCTGAGAGCGTAGAGGAGTCCACAGGGCAGAGTGCCAAGGTGGCTGATGGTGCTGCTGAGGCCATGGAGGTGTCTGTGGGGTTAGACAGCAGCAGTCCAGGTGAAGAAACGCCATTGTCTGGGCTTCAAGTTCTCACTGAGGTAGGTACAGTGGTCTTAAACGACAGCTGGCTGCCACTTTAGAGTTATATATAGACTGCCTTTGTGTGACAAGATAATACAAGATGAGCTACTTCAGGGCCAGAGCCTGAACTATGAACTATGACACAGTTTAGGCTTTGAGCTGCAGCTGGTTGCAAATGTGGTAGATAAGAAACATATGACTGCTCATAGATAGATGTTGTGTTCAGGAGAGCGTGTGGGATGGTCACACTGCTTGAAAACATACAGAAAATATCAGCGAGCAGCAACTGGTGGAGTGAGTCAGCCTGGCCGTGTGAGGCTGTGGTTTCACTGCACCGATATCACTCAAGTGCAACAAGCCATACAAGATAGCGTGGGAGAGTTGGGAACCATAAGAACCGAGCAACTTGCACCAAATATGCGTGGGGGTGGGGGATGTTGTGGATGTACACTGCACACTGTAAGATAGGATAGGGGAATATCTCAGATGTTGGCTGTGATGAGTGGGACACCAGTGCGTCAGAGATCATGATGAAACCTGAATGTCAGAAGTGGTTCTCACATTGCAAACAGGGCTTTGCATGACAGAGGGCCATTAGGTCTGGACGAGCGGGAGTAGAGCGGCAGGTCTCAGCATGAAAGGAGGGCTTTGTCACATTGGACACATTCCTCACCGACCCCCCCTCTCTATATCTTAAAATAAACCTCTTCCTCATTAAGAGGAGAGAGGGGAAGGCAGTACTTCTGTCATCTCAGTGTTCAGCTTGGTGAGTTGTTTCATGTCTGTCATGTTTGGGGAACTAGGACGATCATGCTATGGTTAATGTGCTGTACAGTACATGCCCATACAGAAAGAAAGCTGATAGGAGGGACAGTGACTTTATCATTTTTGCTATATTTGGGTGTGCACTGATTCACTTCAGTTTGATCATGTGACGGTGAGCAGTGTTGGGAGGCTATAGCTTTGCATGCTACCTATTACTGAACACAGGAAGAAGTTGAACTACAGCAAAGCTACCACAGGTAGAAACATAGTTTGGTGTTAAAGCTACTTTAAAAAAGTAGTTCAGGCCACTTTGTTGAAAAATGATCAAATTGACAATGTTTGCGTTATAGGCAAATATAACAAAATACAACACCAAAAGGTCACATGCTGGCAAAAATGCTACTCAGTTGAGTTTATTGCAAAAAGTGCCAACTTGTTCACAGGTCATAAACACCTCTCTATTAATGGGAAAAGGCAGGACTGTCAGCTTTGGTTTTGTATACAGTGTCCATGAGTCTGGGAGTATTGTACCAAGCAGGATTACTCAGTAGCCAGGTAACTTCTAAAATAGCATGCAACAAGCTTTTTGAAAACTGGTTAATAAATAGCAATAATCAATCCTTATGACTAATTGTGGTCAAAGGGGGTTCGATAACAGTTGAGAAGCAATGATAGAATACATTTTAAAACAGTTGCTTTCCCTCCATGGCACAAAATTTGTAGTTTTAGTGGTTAACTACACAAAAATGGCAAAAATGTTAAACTACTTGAGTCACTATACAAAAAGGAATGTAGCTGAACTACCAGCGAGCTACTGCAAAATGTAGTTTAACTACTAGTTTGATTGCTTGAAGCTCCCAACACTGACTGTGAGTCTTTTGGCTATTTGATATGGATTTGTTTATTGACTTTGACTTTGTTTCTGTTGATGCCTGAGTCACTCTCATTAGGTAGTTTAGAAAAAAAGCAGTAAATTATACGGCCATGTTAAATGGAAATCCACTGTAGTCATAGCCAAACTTTACAAGCGTGCACATATTGTCAAAGACCCAATCTCAACAGATAGGTTCAGTTGCACATATAAAAAAAAGTATGTTATTTCTGAAACTGTGTGTATCATTCAATTTGCCTGTTTGCTTAAGGAGAAAGTAAGGAAGAATTTGTTGAACTTCTGAAAGTTTATGTGGCTATTTTAACCCATCAAAACCAATATTTCTCTTAAAGTCAGATATTTCTATTATAGATATTTATATTTAAATGTACTCTAAGTTTGTGAATTGGTGTGTTCCGTAAAATGTGAATGAAACACAGCAGATGTACTGAATTCTACACTGTCCATTCACATCTAGTTTTCTGGTGCACAGTGACACGTGGAAAGGGGAACTAAACATTATCCACCTGCAGAGCGATTGTTTGCCCATAATGTGGAACTACAACTGTGCATTAGCTGTGCTGGTGGTATAATGTGAGACCTTGTGAATGTCTAGCTGGAGGAAGTCAAACGATTAATGCGGACAGTGTTCTCTCACGTGGGTGTTACACCTATTTACACACAGAGGTGTAGCGATGACCACAGCTTCAATTTTTAGAATGTGACACCAGTTCCCTTCCATCGAAAGCAACAACTTCTTTTTTTCTTGGTAGTCGCTGCTGGCTGGGCCCAACATGTTGTCACGAGGCCGCATGTGGCTTCATCACTCTCCTGCGTTCATTTTAATGGTGTGAACAGCCAAAACAGGGGCAGTGAGGGGAAACACCCAGCAACACTTCTATATGTAGCGTGCAGCTTTACCTATGTATCTTCTCGTTGGTATGCACAATTAAATTTAAGATAGTGTTGTAGTCTTCAACAGCTTCATGATGATAACAGATCTATGCAAATCATGCATGTTATGATTTTTTTTTTTTTGTTTAGAGACAAGTGATTATTGACTGCCCAGCAAGTTCTTTGTGTAAACAGCACATCTGTGTCAACCATGTGGGAATTCCCCTGTCCCTGTTTCAACATAAGAGGCATGGCACACAATCATTTTTAAACTCCCTTTATCATAGACATAAAAGTTAGTATAACATGTATGTTTAGTTAGGGCTCAATTAAAGGACAATTTTGAAGTTTAAAAAAAAAAAAAGATAAACCCTGTTGAAAAGAATCTATACATTGAAGTGGACCCTCGCACGTTTTGGTTTCAGCTATGCCTTGCACGTGACGTGAGGTTAAGAGGTTCCTGAAATAAGCTGACATGTCATAAAACACTTAAGTATCTAGAGTTCTTCCGCATATTTGTTTGAACTATTTTCTGTTTACCTTTCAGCTAGTAATTGATCAACTTGGGTCACACACTACTGCTCTCCTCTCTGTTGGGAAATATAACACTGCATTGCAGTATCACGTTTGTCGTGTCACTGTCCATACCTCTGTTGATTTATGTTAGAAAAACATGTCTCAGTCTAAAAATGTTTAAGTGGCAAAGTTCACCGCAGTAAGTCTGTTCTAATGACCCTCTTAAAAAGCCTGTAAGGTCCGGTGTGTGGGATTTAGGGGGGATATATATAGACGGAAGTGGAATATAAAATGATAATTATGTTGTCTTTTGTGAATAATCGCCTGAAAATAGGAATAGTTGTCTTTTCATTACCTTAGAATGCTGTTTTTATCTACATAGGGAGCAAGACCTTATCCATGGAGCTCACTATGTTGCGCTGTTTCTACAGTAGCCCAGTGCGGACATACGAAACACTGGCTAGAGATAGGGCCAATGAGTTTTTGTGTTGGCCACCACAGTTAGCAGCCCCTCTGCGGCAAGCCAAACAGCATCAGAAAAACACTGATTTTTACGTGAAACTGCTTTATTTAGTGTTTTTATGAGTTTTAGATATCTGGTCCCTTTGTTGTAGAGAGGAAGAAACCTCTGCGCCATATTTGGCTGTCAGTAAAAACTTCCTGAGCAGAGAACACTGCAGGAATCCTATTAGTTAGTCCATGCTTGGCACACAGGAGAAGTTTCAGCTGGTCACAATCTGCAGTCCTCGATGCTGGGTGCCACCAAATCCTACACACTGCTCCTTTAACCCCCTCAACACGACACTAAATGGGGTTTTTTTTCTCAATAAATGTGCAGTTTCTTTGCCACTAACAAATCAAGCTGTTAAAATTATCTTGCATGCATAGGGAGTAAAACCAGCTGTGTTGAGATGTGTGTGTTTCAGAGAGTTCATTGAGAAGGGGTTAGGGTTGCAATGAAGTGCTAAAATGTTTTATTTGTTTACTTTTCATCAGGCTGAAGAGAAAGATTCTCACATAGTATCTGTCATCAAAGAGGTTCCCTTGCATCAGCATGATTATGCGGTAGTTTCATCCCAGCTTAATCATCAGCCTGCTCAAGATGAGTCTTCACCAAGGGAAGAAGTATCTGTCTTGCCACAGACCCAAGCCCCTTACAAAGAGGAATGCCCCCCCACATCCACCCCCACAAGTCTGGAAGAAAGCTGGACTCCCCCTCGCAATCTTATCTCAACGTCAGACAACCACAGCCTTGAAGAGGCACCCACCGGAACTTCACAGGAAGAAAAGATGAGTGTCAAGATGGGCAGAGAGGGTGAACCAGACACAGACAAGGGCCGCTCCTCCAGTGTGTTATGTGAGGAGGAGAAAGCTGAAGTGAAATCAAACAAGCAATCGTCCTCAGATATAAACAGACCTGAGGTTACTGAATTAACAACACGTTCAGTGGAAGAGAGAATAGAGCCAACTGAGCCTAAAACACCAGATCAGGTGCTTTCACCTCTGCCTGCAGTGGCAGCATATGGTGTCGAGGGAGATCATGTGAAAGAACAAACTGGATGCACTTCACTGATTCAGGAAATGAATTTAGGACTTCCGCCCACTGAGGCCCCGGAGAGTTTAGAGAAGGGTGACCTAAATATACAGCAAGAGCACACTTCTACAGTGGAGGTAAGCGCTGAAGGCCACAATGTCAGTGCAATGCAGAGTTCAAACACAGGTCTTAGAAGCAGTGAAGAGGGAAGCAAATTAGAAGGGGTATTGATTTCTGCTTCTGATTTAGAGGTTAACTCTTCTGACGATCTAAAAACACAAGAGCAGGCGATTTTAGAAGGCGAAAGCACTGAAGCAAAGAGTTTACAGTTTGGAGTGGAGGCAGAAAAGAGGAGTCCAGTCACAGCAGTGGAATCAGATGAATCAAAAAGCCTCTCAGTAACACAAAACCAGGAAGGTAATGCTTATGTTTTGGAGGAACGCAGTACTGTTGCACATCAAGACAGCAGGGAGGGACAGCAGGGTCCGCCCCTAATGAATATTCCACAAATCCAAATATCTATCATTGAAGACACCCCAGATATTAAACCACCTGTGGCAGGTGTGAACTCAGATGAACAATTTATAATCCCAAAAATTGAAATAATGGAGCCTGAGCTCAAAGAGTGCACTCTGCCACTAACTATTTTGGCACTGAACAAGCAAGAATCAGAGCCTGCTACACTGCAAAATCATGATGTAACTCTTGAGTCTGAGGTTATAATCCAAGACCAGAGTGCGGTTGATTCTCCAAGCTTGCTGCCCACGCAGAGAGGTATGCAGAATGATATCAATCTCTCACCTATGGAGAAAGTAAAGGAAGTTGCACAATTGGATGACGAGACAAAAATGTTTGAGCAGCCAAGCGTGAAAGGCAGTGAACAACTCCCTCAAATGGACTACGCATCAGTTCCTGTTATAAATGTTTCATGCACCGATGACAAGGAGGGTGAGGTATTTATAAGCACCCGTGTTTCAGATACACAGTGGCCTTTCGAAACTCCAACGGTGCCAGTGTTTGTGGTGCCGCCAATCTCTATCACTTGTCATGAAAGTGATTCTGGACTCAGCCTGCCCGCTCAGAATGTGTGGACAGAAACAGAAACTTCAGCTGCCACACAAAGGGGAACAAAGCGTGACACTGACAATAATAATACCACTGTGCCTGAAAAAAATCAAAATAGAAAACAGGATGTAGAAGAAACATCAGAAAAGAGTGTTAAAGAAAACACTACCTCTGTACTAAATGAAGCTCTAACACCAAAGGTTGGTGACAATGTGCCTTCATTTATTAAAACAGCAGAAGACAACAATGTCCCTGAAATCTTAAAGACAAAATCCCTTAAAGAAGCTAAGATAGAGAATTCTATGTCTGTTGAGAGACTGTGCTCTAAACCCCCAGCACATCCATCACTGAGTCCAGCCAGTCTCCGCAAATTCATGTCCAAAGCTGCTCCAGACTCAGACGCAATCACTGGGGGGGATAAGGCAGACGAAGACCTCAGTGGAGGCTCAACACCGACATCATCCCTCTCCTGTGAGAGCAGTCCCCGTCTGAAGCGCAGAGACAGTCTGTCACTCATCCGCTCTGCCACGCCTGAGGAGCTGGCCTCTGGAGCTCGTCGCAAAATCTTCATCCCAAAAACTAAAGAAGATGGAGATGGAGCAGTGGTCGGTGCGCTGGATACTCCAGTCAAAAAGGACACCCCCTACATGTCTCCCAGCCAGGCTCGCAGAGCAGCGTTACTACAAGCTCCCACAGGACAAAACACCCCACCCGTGGAGAGGCGCTCTCCGCTGCTGGTCCGCAGAAAGGCAACATTGGAGGTGCCAAAAGTGGTGGAGGAGACTCCCACAGAAGAGCCAGTCAGCACCAAACAAGAGGAGAAACCAGCTGCAAAGAAGTTTGACCCTTTGAAAGGCAAAGAATCAATGTTTTGTTCTGCATGTTTTCCAATTAGAGCTGTACCAGCTTGTTTGCAAAATGTCATAGCTCATTTACACAATGACTTACTCATCATCTTACTAAATATGAAGCAGAAAATGCACAGAATACAATATGGCTAAATACTCATGTCACATAACTTGGATTTGAGTCAGACTTGAGTCACAAATTTGTTGAGTGTAGACTTGACTTGACAGATTCAAAAAAGACTTTCAACTCAACTGCAACTTTGACACCAATGACTTGTGACCTCAGTTGGACTTTAGCCTTTTGTCTTCAAAATACTTGATGACGTCCTCCAACCCAATGGTTTAAATAGTATATTATTTTAAAAGTGTGCCACAAGTCTATTCATTTCCCTTAGATTCCTGAATTATCTAACTTTAAGATTAATCTTTTTATTTCATTTAGGACATAAATCATAAAACATGCATCAGCATACAGTGTCACTTTAAAGGATGAATAGTTGATGGTGGCACAGTGGGAGGGCAGCACGGTGGAGCAGTGGTTAGCATTGTTGCCTCACAGCAAGAGGGTTCCTGGTGGGGCAGGGCTGTGCGAAGTCTGCACCCCTCACCCCATGGGCACACCATGGGCTCCAGCCCCCCCCCCACAACCCCCAACAGGATAAGAGGTTGAAGCAATGAAATGAAAAAGATGAATGTTGATGAAAGGATGAAAGGATGTTTTCTTACAGAAGACATCTTACAAAGTTTTAGACATTCATTCATTCTGTTGTGGTGCTGGTTGATAATGCTTTATGCTATGAAAGTGCAATATCAGCACATTTTTTATGATAATGTTTAGTTGCACTTGTTTAAACAAATAAATATAGTTTTTTTTAAATAGTGATTTTTTGTTAATTGAATGTTTTAAATACTCTGTTTTTAAAATGGCATTACATCTGAAAAGTGAAAAGTGCATCATGACCTATTTAGGACTTGGTGGGACTTGGAACTTGTCAGTTCTCACTTGGGACTTGATTCAAGACTTGAGCAAAGACTTCAAACACTTGAGACTTACATGTGACTCAAAAACAATGACCTGGTCAAACATCTGCTCTGTAGAATCGCAGGTGATTTGCTCGCAATACCACAATACAAACATTTCCGTGAAATTCTCGGCATAGTTTTTATTCTTTGTCAACACACGAGTCTGACTAGTGCTTGAGTGCTTGAGGACGTGGAAACATTAGAAAGTCTTGACTCTCCAGTACAGTATATATTTACCTTGCCCCCCTCCTCTCGCCCTATGCACCACCAGCTCCACAGGTCATCCGTAAGATCAGGGGAGAGCCGTTCCCGGATGCTTCCGGACACCTGAAGCTGTGGTGCCAGTTCTTCAACGTGCTCAGTGACTCCACCATTAAATGGTACAGAGAAGAGGAGGAAATACTAGAGGTGAAGAGAAGGTAAATCCCCCTCTTGTCTTACAATGTCAACACGACTGCATCACCTGTAGCATAAATCAACAGCAGTGTCACACACATGTCACATTTTTTTCCCGCTATTGTTGTTTTGAGGATTTCCCACAAACATGCCTGGTTAAGCTGGTTCCAAACCAAAATGCAACGAGGATGAACCGGTTTATTTGGGTCTCAGGGTGCATCTCGTGGCCGTCTGTCAATCTCATATTCTCACTGCTGAGGTGTCCAGCTCATGTGACTGTGTACCCCACAGCTGTGACACAGAGAGGTGAATCTCTGGCTAGACACAGAAACTGTAACCTGACACAGTATTTTTCCCATCTCCAGGGGGCATTAAAAGTCTATATATGTGCTATTGGCTGCTGTGTCAGCAGACGGCAGCCACACAGCGCGGCCATATGTCTCACAGTGACACCTTGTGGGTTGTTTATGAATCTTTGACGTAAGGTACGACTCAGTTTGACGTGTTTGATGATCAGGTGTTTTTCCCCTTTCTCTCATCAAGTGGAGGAGATGAAAGCCAAGTCGCACTGGCTGTTGTTCTGGCATCCAACCATGACTGTGGAGTGTACGGCTGTTCAATCAGTAATGAATATGGGTCTGACACCACTGACTTCCTGCTCAGCGTAGAGAGTAAGATACAGCCTGCCTGGAAAAAATCAAGTGTGATGTGTAGATGTTATAATATATAGATAATGCTTTTAGGAGTCTTTCTTTTTTCTCTTTTACAGTTCTGTCTGAGATACTTCTAAAGGATGATTTGGAAGGTACATTTTTCAGTTAGCTATGTTTTTTTTTTTGTTTATAGTCTCTGTAAATTATTGTTCATCATAAATATGTGTTTCTGTTTGTCTTCAGTTGGAGAGGAGATCGAGATGACTCCACTGCTGTTCACCAAAGGCCTGGCCGACTCCGGCAGTTGGGGCGAAAAGTACTTTGGCCGTATCATGACCGAGACGGCGCAAATCGGGGAGGGCTGCGCTCACAAAACCAGCAGAGTGAAGGTCATTTACGGCCTGGATCCCATCTTTGAGTCTGGAAGCGCCTGCGTCATCAAAGTCCAAAGCCCCATCCCGTACGGGACCACGCAGGAGAACAACCTCACAGATAAAAATCTACAAATAACTAAGCAAGTGAGTGATGCATTTATGGTCTAACAATCTCTGGCAAACGAATTCCAATAATTCTGAGTGGTTATAATTACAGCACGTTGATTTGGCTGTTAAATTCTGTGTTGCCAGGAATGCAAAGTCCAAAACATGATTCGAGAATACTGTAAAATCTTTGCGGCTGAAGCAAGAATTCTTGAGAACTTTGGCTTTACACTAGAGTAAGTATCATGCGTATTATAGAACAGCTCTAATAATGAATTCTGTTACATTGCTTGTGATCAACCTACTGTTTGATTGTGTTGCCCACAGAGTGATTCCTCAATATCTGATGTACCGGCCTGCAAACTCTGTGCCATATGCCACAGTGGAGGCTGACCTTATGGGTGACTACGTCCAGTACTGTGGGATGGATTCTAAAGGCAAGCTGATTTCACAAACCGCCTCTGAGGTGGAGCAGAAATGCAGCACCTTCCAACATTGGCTCCATCAGTGGACGCATGGCAATTTGCTGGTCACTCGGCTGGAGGGTAAGACACACCTACGCAGTTATAACAAAAGCAATCGTCCTTCTATTTGTCAGACTGAACTTATTTATAATCTGTGATTTATTTTTACAGGTGTTGAATCAAAGATGACAAATATTCGAGTTGTGACCAAGCCAAAAGGGTTTGTATCTAAACCAGTACATGCTGTTACATGTTGTCTGTTTTCTATTAGAATAGCTGGACTAAAAAGTTCTCCCCTGTATTTCAGATACCAAGGACTAACAGAGCACGGCTCTCCGGAAGTGTTTGAACAGTTCCTGACACACCATCAGTGCAACTACTACTGTGGACTTCTTGGCCTGCGCCCACTCAAGTCGCTGGAGCAGCAGTCCAAGGTGAAGGGCTCCAGGAGCCCCCTGCTCAACCGCAGGTTGAGCTCAAGCAGCCCACAGGTTCAGCGGAAAGGACACAGCCCTCAGATGTCTAGAAAGGCAAACTCTAGCCCAAAGGTGCCGAGAAAAGCTCAGGAGACAGAGGACAATAAATTAGACAACAAACCCAAACCTGCAGAAACTGTCGATGCTCTTGAAATTAGGTAGGAAGAAGCTGTGTCACACAAGATTTAATTGCTGTTAATGGTTTAGTATTATCTGCTGTTTATTTCCAGTTAGCAAAACCAAAAAGGACTTGAAGAGTGAGACTTACAGAAAAGGAATAGTTTGTTGACTTGACTTCTCATTAAGAATTACTGTGAATTTCTCAGTCGCCATTACAACTACAGTATGAGACATCCAGCCACTTACTGTGGTTAAAAGGCTCATGAGAATGTTTTGAGCAATGAGTACAGGGTTTTTAACCTCATAGCCCACATAACTTGAACAGAATGAAAACCAACACTGGGCCACATTAGAGTTGATGTAACACTTTTATATAGTTTGAAACACTTGCCTAAGAGTCTTATCAGCTCTATGAGACAAACACTTCTCCAAGCAATATCTGTCAACTCTGTCAAAATCATCACTGAAGCTCAGCCGCACTTCGCACTGTTAAATTTGCAGTTTGATTTTTTTCTTTTTAATGAAGAGATGTCAACATTTTTATATGATTTTATTTTATTTATGGAGACTAAAACCACAGCCACATCAGGGTGTTGAGGTAATGTATCCATTATTAAACGCTGCATGTTCATCTGTGATGTACAGAATGTGAGAAGGACGTAAAGTTAATTATAGAGGCGTTACTTATGGCTTGCATTAGAAATGCCTTCACAGCATTTCCTCACACAGCAAAGTTGAGCTCATGCTGTGGAATTACAGAACCGTTTTTAGATCGAAGATGTTTGTGTGCACTTTGTTTTTGGTAGTTTTAGAGTACTGTATCTGTTGCGTCTGTGTCTTTAACAAGTTGTCTTGGAGTATTTCAGTTCATTTTAATATATGCTGGTGAATGCGAAGCAATGAGCAGTAAGGGGCTGCCAGTAAATTCTTCGGTATGCTCCTGCTCATTGACATGCAAACACACGAGTGTTTCTGAAGCAAGGAGGAAAGCCGCTGAATGAGTTCCACACAGTAATTCGGATCTGACCTATGGACTGTGACATGAATGCACACTGAATTAAATAACCAAAAGAGCAGACTCTGGATTTTCAGAAGCCTATTGAACACTTAGTAAGGCTCCCTGCAGGAAATCTGTAGAGTTTTACGGCAACTGACAATCCCCTTTCACTGAATGTGTGAGCTGTGACTTTTGTTAATGAGCAGTTGGTCTTCAGTCTTCAGTTATCTTGTGAGTTTGCACATTTACTTCTGGTTGAATTCCAACAGGAGCCAATTGCCTTTTACAAATAATAAAGAACTGAAAATAGCTCTGTAGGAATTCCCGTGATGGATTACCGGTTAACAATCGAGTGTCTTCAAAGTTTTCCGCAGTTAAACTTCAGGTGCCATTACTTTACATCACTGTAATTGCATGATTGTTTATGATAGAAACATTTTAACACAGGTTGAAATATTGACCAGCGAATGACAGTGAAAGGTGTGGTGTCATGCAAACAAACTGTATTGGGTTTATGTGTACATAAAGTCAAAGTACTGAGTATCTGAAGTAGTGTGAAGAACAATCGTAAACGTGAGAGTGGGTGTGTGAATGAGTAAATGGATGAATGATTCAGAATAAATGTGTGTTTACAATGTGTGCTGTCTATGTCACGTTACATCATGTCAGCAAATGTTTTTTTAATAAATACGTAAAACATTTGTGTCCAAGCATAGTTCACATTTTCTTTTCTTAGGTTTTTATTTTTTCAAAAAGTACAACTGTTTCCATAATTATCAACAACATTATGAAATAACCGAGTCACTTAATTGTATTTGAAATATTTACATTAATCAAAATGCTGATGCCAGAATATTTCCTGAGGCATACTCCTTAAAGAAATACTACACCCACAAAGTGACCATTTGTAAATCAATTAGTCGTTACCATGACAAGAGACAAGGCATGCAAGAAAAACAAAGTTTTCTTCACGAATTCAAGGTAACGCAGCATGACTAACTGATTCATATGTAGTCATTCTGTGGTTGAATGTCCTTTGAAATGTGTCTTTATTCCTTGGCTTTAAATAAAAGCAGCATTAATTTACAATATAATAAATTAAAAGATGCATTCATCTTTCAAAGATATGCATATAGACTTTACATCTTTACATTAACTGTGACACAAATATACAAACACGGAGAGACCCCGTAAATGAGCTACAGTATAAAAAAGACAGACATTGGCGAGTAGTTTTCTCCTCTAAAAACAAACTGGCACATCAGAAAGTCCACAGCACTCACAACATTTAGAGAAAAACAAGGTGACGTTTGCTACATTGCTCCACGATCCTTCGAATGAGATGGTCCCGTTGTTTACAGTGCTGCAAAAAATTTAATTTGAGATGTAAGTCCAAACAGCTGATATCACAGAGACATACTCAGCTACCTTATTGCATATTAAAGCATCCATGCATTATCCTGTGTGTCCCAAACATTTTAAAGGTCCAGTGTGTAGGATTTAGGGGTATCTACTGGCAGAAATGGTATATAATATTCATAACTATGTTTTCATTAGTTTATAATCACCTGAAATGAAATAAAGAATCGTGTTTGCATCACCCTATTCCCAGTTCACACCGATGCAACTAGATGAGACGGTGTATCATCTCTATGCTACAACTCTCTGTACATCCGTTCTGATTACCAGCTTTTCAGGCTTATTCATGGCAGAATATAATTTTTAGCCTCTTAAAATATGAATGAGAATGTGATAGTGAGATACTGTCCACAGTTGCATTTGTAGCAATGATGAAACTGCGAAAAACAGAAACAAACAAGCACCAGATGGACTGTATTCATTATAAATATGCCACTACAATATAAATAACCAGCGGAAATTAATCAGTCAATAAGAATATGTGTGTGAGAGGGGTCACAAGCACATACACCGAGGAGCAGCAGCGACCCACCGTCCAATACTGGCACAACGTGAGGACAGAAACACGCCGTCTGCAGTCATTTAACTTGACCAGTGGACTTCACTACAAGCCGATTGGCTGTTGAAACCAGCTTAATTTGAGCTCAGACTGACCAGTTCACACCACTGCAACTTTTCTCTACAACGTTCTAAAAATGGTTTTCTCTCGTCATGAATTTTTGGTCTGAACTGGTCTTTAGAATAAGCTGTTTATATCTACAAACAGAGCAGATCCTTTTCCACCGGCTCCAGATAGGGCCATTTGCATTTTCGCGTCAGCCATCATAGTTCTCTGACACACTTGGCACACAGGAGAAGTTTCAGTTCTGCAACTTCACCACTAGATGCCACTAAATCCCACACACTGGACCTTTAATTCAGCCACCATAGTGCAAATATCTGCTTACCTTTCAAAGAGGTCTTGACAGCATGTTTGTATATTTGCATCTGTGGCATTGAAAGCCGATGTCCTGAACAGATTCACACACTCAAGTGGAGGAACGAAGAGGATCCCTGAATGATAAAGTAAAAAAGCTACTCAGTTTCAGTACAACCGGAAACTGCACTTACAGTTCAATTCAAAAGCTCTTACCTGCAAGAGAAGCATTGACAAGAGACACAACAGTCCCGGTGATCATAGCTCTCAGCACCATAGACGAGACGTCACCTCTTCTGGATGGGCATATAGAGGCTTTGAGAAAAGAAAAATCATCACTGAGTATGCTGTGGCAGGACAAAAACATGACGATGGGATGATAAAATACTCACCCAGGCCTCCGATCATGATACCCAGTGAGCTGAAGTTGGCAAACCCACAAAGAGCAAAAGTGGTGATAATTTCTGATCGGACCTGAAACAGGGAAAAACTAAATCATGTTATGCTGTTTTTACGTTGTGTTAATTCCTTCCATTTTTCGTGCAGTGCTCATGAATTTGTACTTTTAGCTCACCCACACTCGCTTCAACTGAGATCATTTACTCACAGATATCCATTGTCGTTCGCCTCCAATAATCTCAGCAAGTCCACTGAGTCTGTTGTCCTTCAGTGCAGATAGTTTTTGATAAGCCACAAACTCATTGAGGAAGAGCTTTGTGCCGATTAGTTCGGCCACAGTGAAACTCTCATCATACGGTATTCCCATCATAAAGGCCACAGGCATGAATACATAAGAGCAAATCATCTGAGAACACAGAGCAGTGTAAGGTTATTTGGATAGTGTTGGTCTGACTTGTTGAATTTACAGTATAAGCAAGCAAAACCTGTGAAATGTCTGCATAAATAAATACATGTATGTCTGAAAAATGTGTTAAATTGTAATCATACATAAAAAAATACATTTTATAAGCTGTCTTTTGACCATCTGCACATTTTTTGGAGAACATCTTTTGATATTACAATTGACCTATAGCTAAGTCCCGCCCTCAAATGCGATGAGCTAATCACAGTGCATATAGCCATTGCATACCCTCGGACAATCTCTGCCTGGACGTTCATTGAAATGCATTACAGAAAGTCAGTTTTGTTCGGTTTTATGAGCTTTTTCAGAGATTTGAAGTTTAAAAATGGTCAAACGGTGTGCATATGGGGTACATGCAACTCTGACACAAGGTATCCTGAGAGGCTGGGCGACGGGGTGTATTTTTTACACTTTAACGTTAAACCACATTTCAACTGAGAAAAGTGTCTCCTTTGGATAAAGTTGTGTGGTAACGTTAGACCACAACATCAACTCAAAGTGAATAAGATTAACAATGATCTACATCTGTTCTAAGGTAAGACAACATCGTGTTTGAGGCAACATATTGTCACTTTGCTGGAAAGAAATATAAAGTTATCTTTAACATCTCTAGCTAATGTTAGCTACAGTTAGCCTAAGGTTAGCTCCTAGCTGCGTTGTTCATCATGTCACCTTGTTTGCTGGGAGTTCATTAGCCTATTTTGTTCTAGTTTTTTGTACTTTAGTGATCGTACATCATTGTTAGCTGTTGTCCAAAGGGCTCTAGTTAAGCTAACGTTTACTTCTGGAGCTTAGCTTCATTAATTTATCTGTAATTGCAGAGATAACAAAGGTTAGCAAACGTTATGCTGAATGATTCAATGTAAATACTGTAGCACCAAACTAACGGAGAGACACTCTTGGTAAAGATGGTAAAAAGGCCGTTATCCTTTTCTCATATTCTGAGCCAAAAACCTTAACTTCAGTGGCACTTTAACTTGTTGTCTTTGATGGTGACGGCAATGAGATGCGGTTCATAAGTGTACAATGTGACCTGTATATTTTGGCTTGTAATTTAAGCTTTTCATCGACCTTCTCAACAATAAAATAATTAATATATCCCTCCAATGCGTAGTTTAGGCCTTTTTGGTTGCTTCTCAATGACACCTGATCGTTATGTCCCCAAAAATCATCAATTGCCTCCTGCGAAATGCTGTGTACTGTGACACCTGCCATAGCACCGGTCACTGAATGTTGATAGTTTGTCCGAGTGAGTGGAGGGGGGCGTGGCCTAGCCATACGTCAATTGTGCAAAATGTAAATAAATCACATTTTAGAAATAAAAACAAACAAACATTTGAACACTATTAAAATGTCACACTTATTACTCTTATGCTAAAACATACCTGGAATGTGATCGCAGGATATCCCACCATACCGCCAAGCCAACTCAAAGCTTTGTTGATGAACCCGAGAATGGCAAGAAAGGCGATCAAGTTAGCTGCTATATTAGCAACTAGACCTATTGAAGCAGATGCTCCACTGCTAGCAGCCTCCAAAATGTTTTGTTCATCTCTAGGGAATGTTGTTTTTTTTAAAAAAAAAAGTAAGTTAATTCACAAAAGCAGAAAACACTATAAAAGGGGAAGAGAAGAAAAATGAAGGGATAGAAATACACACCCACAAGACACTTTAACATTCTTCTTTGACTTGAAGGGACTCTCCTCCGTCTCTGGGTAAGAAAGTTTGGAGATGGCCAAGGCACAAGGAGCAGCCATTACTGAGGCTGATATCAGGGAAGATGCATCAATCTGCAAAATACAATGAAATGACATTTAATTCAGGGTACCGCAGTGGAGTTACTGCTATAATCAGCAGCAAATACAGTGTTTGATATTCTGAATGGTTGCTGTTGAAATAAGAAAACTGCAAATAATTCAAACAAATATTAAAAAGTAAAATTGTTGTTTTAGTTAGGCACAACCATTGGTATTAATTCTCATTATCTAAATGCAATGCAGTTTCAGCTTCTTACAGAGACAGAATAACATTAGATCAGATATACTACTAAAAATCATGATCGTGTTAATCAAACATATCCTTGCCCAAACACTATCTTTTCCTATTCTAATGTAGCTGATACTGATTTGCTCAACAGAGATATGTGCCTGTTACTTAGTGACCTTCAAAACATATCATATGGCCTCTTCTGAGGAAAAGCACCTCAGACGCCAGTGGTGTGAATTACTACTGAGTAAAATACTTGAGAAACTGGTTTGTCTTGAGTTATCAGGCTTTATTGGTTAAGAAACATGGGCTGGGCTCCCAGGCACAGATGTTGATTACCTAACAGGTTGAGACTAGTTTGTTTCTATTGGGGAATTCTGTTCAGAAGGAATTAACATTTCCAGTGGTGTGCCCCAAGGTTCAGTACTGGGCCTCATTCTTTTCTGATCTGAGCCCTGTGTAAAGCTTTGTAAACTGTTTTTTTTTTTTTTTTTTTTTTTTTTAGAAACTGGATGGCTAAACATTTT